TACTTGTCCATGCAGTTCCTTTTATTAGGGATCTTTCTTTTTATGTATGGCTTTGAATTAATTCCTAGTCTCTTTTCCCCTTCATCTGGAGAACTCCCATTTGTATTTTTTGGAGGACCAGTATTGTAGATACCTACTCTCTCAAGTCTGTTTATCTGGGAATGCTTTAATTTTACCCTCATTCTTAAAGGACAGTTTTGTTGGATATAGTATTCTTGGTTGACAGTTTTTTCCTATGTTTAACTTTTTGAGGAACTGCCAAACTGTTTTCCACAGTAGCTCCACCATTTTACATTCTCCCAGCAACGTATAAGGGTTCCAGTTTCTTCACATCCTTGCCGACGCTTGGCTATTTTCTGTTATTTCCATTATGACCATCCTTAAACAGATTTTTAGAAACTGTTATTTAGCATTTCTTAGCGGTCTTGGTAGAAATGTTATTCTGCTGTAAACTATTCCATCAAAGAGGATGTTTGAACAAAAAGTGTTCAGTGTTTCACAGACCGCCCCCCCCCCCCATTAACTAATTGGTTTCTGTGTTTTGGTGTTTGCCAGGCATTCCAGGAACCGGAACTACAAAGCTGAATTTGCATCATGCCGATTGGAGGCTGTGCCATTGGAGTTTGGGGACTATCACCCACTGAAACCCATAACTGTAAGTTTTGTCGAGAATCTCTAAATGATATTTTCATTCCTTAAAATTACAGTGTTCCTGAGTCTTTTCTGTTTTGCCAGTGGTAGCTACTTTAACATATTTGAATCAGCCAGTATTTCTGCCCCCCCCGCACTTTGATACTGGCCTCACCCACATCATTTTCATTCCCTGCTTCCTCATATTAGTGAGGCTGTCTTGAGTATGGGACAGCTTTGTTTCTGATTTGGATGTTTAAGCAAAATATATCTTGCTTCTTAATTTGCTTATTTGGAATATTAAGAATCACTCTAGTTACCATTAGGGTGTGATACAGAATAATATCTTAGACTATCAGTACGTTACTTAAAAAAAAAAAAACAGGCAAGAGACATATTGTTGTTTTTAGTTGTTGTTGATCGATCCCTGGCTCATGGTGACCCCATGCATGATGGGATCAGACCATTGTAATCTGTAAGGTTTTCAACGACTGATTTTTCAGAAGTAGATCGCCAGGACTTTCTTCCTAGTCTGTCATAGCCTGGAAGCTGTTCACTGCTGAAATGATAGCACTCAAACCTCCACTGTTAGACAAGTGGGGCCTGTGCTCGAGGTGCATTGGCCAGAAATCGAACGTGGTCTCCCACACGGAGGCAAGACTTCTGCCATTGAACCACCACTGCCCTGTAGCAAGAGACATAGGTGGTCCCTTTCTGTTGGGTTAGTACTCTTTTATTAGCAATTAATAGAAACCATGTGGTCATCATATCAGGCAGAGATGTAATTGACAGATTGATGCTAGGGGACATAGAGGGTATAAAATTTCTTAATGGCAGAGGACATGAGAATGCACAAAGATAATTACATACAGCAGGAGATCAGAAGACCGAGGCTCAGCTTTCCAGCTCCCTTCAATCATCTGTGGGCTCGTGCGGCTCTGTCTGACCCCACCAGTGTATTGGTTCCATTCTCAGGAACTCACTTCCCATGTCGTAACAGAATAGCTTCGGCACCTCCATGTTTACGTCCTGCTAGCTTAGCAACTCCAGCAGCTGGGAGAGTTTTCTTTAGCCGTTTTCGTTTGTGTATTGTGTTATGTGCCCTTCCCTGAACCAGCCTTGGTGAACAGGGGGACAGAATATGGTGATTGGGTTACGTCTGATGCCTACTCTGGGAACTAGGAGCAGAGTCTACCCTACCAGGCCTGCAAGAATTGAGAGTGGAGGGGGGCTGCTTTCCCAAAGAAAATTTGGAGTAGTGAGACTGGGAGATGGAGGAATAGATGCTAGGCAGACAAAAGCAAATGTGCAGCAACTGTGGGTGCTGTTCTCTCTGTCCTTCATTCTGCTACATCCCCTCTGTTCTTCTCTGTTTCTTTCTCTGTTTCCCTGTGGGTACATATCCAAAGTGTCCATCACTGTCAACCCCTGGCCCCTAAGTTTTCATAGCTTCCTTGTTTAAAGGAGTGGCTCATCTGAATTAAAAACAAAAACAAAAAACCAAACGCATCGAGTTTTTGCCATTGAGTCGATTCCAACTTGTAGCACCCTATAGGACAGATTAGAACTGCCCCATAAGGTTTCCAAGGAGTGGCTGGTGGATTTGAACTGCCAACCTTTTGGTTAGCAGCCGAGCTCTTAACCGCTGTGCCACCAGGGCTCCATGCTTTTCTGAATGTTGATCCTAAATTCCCAGGGAGAGACTCTGGTTGGGTTCTCTTGGCTCAGGGGTTCACTCCTAATTTAATCGTTTGAAGTTGGGGAGGGGTGGGATCCGGTGGTACAAACATGCTCCCCCACCCAACACATGTACCAGGAGGTGGTAGTGGGAGAAGTTCTCCACAAAAAAGAAGGAGTTGGGCATTCGCGCTCTGGAAATGCAATGTCTTGCAGAGCTATGGAGATAATTTTCAGAGTACAGCATGACCCTGGTGATCTTGAGTGCCCTGCCTCATTACCCTACTAGACCACTGCTTCCATATGAATCACCTCATGATCTTATTAAAATGCAAATTCTGATGCTGTGGTCTGGAGCTAGGCCTGAGGGTCTACATTTATAATATGCTCCCAGATGATGCCAATGCTGCTTGTCCAGGGACCACACTTTGAGCTAGGATTTGAACTGGTTCACTCATGGCCAATGAAGCAAAACCGGAACAGACCTGAATTTTTAAAATTTGGGTTCTCCAGAACCATAACGGGAAGAATTATGTGTCAAAGCCCTGAATGGGAGACTTGGAAGAGACATAGTGAGCCCTTTCAGGAGCCTGATGCATGAGGTTGGTTTATTGACAGGACTATGGAGAGCAACACACATTAAAAGCGGCAAGGTCAGCCACCATCCTTGAGTGGGGCACTGCTGTTTCCGACTGTGCAAAGTCCAAAGGGCAAAAGATTTGGTTGCTATGCAACATACACGTTGCCCTTGTTTTCTAAGAGGGAGATTAGGTTTTTAGCAGGGCTTTAACCCATAATTTTTACCATTCTGGTTATGATTCCGGTTCAACTAAATTTTAAAAATTCGAGTCTGTTCCAGTGTTGCTTCCTTGGCCATGATTGAACAGGGAAGAACCAGTTGAAAGCCTGCTTTGAGTATCAAAGCCCTACAAGAAGACATTTACATCACCTTCTTCTAAATCAGAAGGGCCCTGTCTCTTCCCTCCTAACACAACTTTCTACCTTTCCATCCTCGACAGCTGTGATTCTGAGTCGTGTTCATTTTGTCACAAAAATAAACATCCCAGGCAGACTGATAAGAAAGACTACTGCAAATGGACGGTCTCTTCAGCCAGCAGAGTGAGAGAAAAGAACCCATCTGCCTGTTGCCTCAGAGAAAGAAGCAGGGGACTTCTATTTTACTGTCTCAAATTCTCCCCATAGGTCACAGAATCAAAGACAAAGAAAGTGAGCCGGAAAGGAAGTACTTCTTCCACTTCCTCCTCTTCCTCTAGCTCCGTGATGGACCCTCTGAGCAGCGTCCTGGATGGCACCGACCCTCTCTCTATGTTTGCAGCCACTGCCGATCCCACAGCCACGGCAGCTGCTATGGTAACACACTCTGAGCAACCAGAAGTCATTCATCTGGGCGGTCAGTTCTAAGGAGGGGCAGGGATGGGTGTTTTTCTTTTTTGTTTTTAAATTGCACAAGTAATGCATGAGTGCGTTTTGGTTGTAACAATTCAGATAGTCCCAGACATCCAGAAGGTATGGCTTACAGAGGACAACGAGGGGGAGAGGCTACTGTAGATTCTGGAAGTTCCTCCCTCCCTCCCATCCTTCATCCCTCCCTTCCTTCCTTCATGCATTTTAAAATGTATTCTTTATTTTAATTTTATTCTTTTTATAATTCTTTCTTTGGGCCCTTTTTTTTAATACAGTTACATAAGTAATTCACTAATTTTTAATGTAAAAGATTTTTGTCAAACACTACAGTTAAAGTCCTGTTTAACAACCCCCTTCCTGCCATTCTCGACCTTGGAGGTCATCACTGTTATCAGTATAATATCTATTCTTCTATCACCTTTTCTTGGTATTTTCATAGATACTTATGACTAAAACTTCTGAGTGTTACATACATAGTAAACCCGTTGCCGTCGAGTCAATTCTAACTCATAACGACTCTGTAGGACAGTGTAGAACATCACATAGGGTTTCCAAGGATGTAAGTCTTTACAGAAGCAGACTGGCACATCTTTCTCCCTCGGAGTAGTTGATGGGTTCGAACTGCCAACCTTTCGGTTAGCAGCTGAGAGCTTTAACCACTGCACTACCAGGACTCCTTACATGCATAGTCTAAACCAAACCCATTGCCATCAAGGCAATTCCGACTCATAATGACCCTGTAGGACAGAATAGAACTGCCCCATAGGGTTTCCAAGGAGTGGCTGGTAGATTCAGACTGCCAACCTTTTGGTTAGCAGCTGAGCTCTTAACCACTGTGCCACCAGGGCTCCACACTGTTGTTGTTAGGTGCTGTCGAGTTGGTTCCGAATCGTAGCCACCCTGTGTTCCACAGAACGAAACACTGCCTGGTCCTGTGCCATGCTCACAATCGTTATGCTTGAGCCAATTGTTGCAGCCACTGTGTCAATATATCTCGTTGAGGGTCTTCCACTTTTTCCACTGACCTTCTACTTTACCAAGCTTGATGTCCTTCTCCAGGGACTGATCCCTCATGATAACATGTCCAAAGTATGTAAGATGTAGTCTCGCCATCCTTGCTTCTAAGGAGCATTCTAGTTGTACTTCTTTTGGCAGTCCTTGGTATATTCAGTATTCTTCGCCAACACCATAACTGAAAGACATCGATTCTTCTTTGGTCTTCTTTATTCATTGTCCAGCTTTCACACATGCATGTGATGCAATTGAAAATACTATGGCTTGGGTTAGGCACACCTTAGTCTTCAAGGTCACATTTTTGCTTTTCAGCACTTTAAAGAGGTCTTTTGCAGCAGATTTGCCCAGTGCAATGCATCTTTTGATTTCTTGATTGCTGCTTCCATGGGTGTTGATTGTGGATCCAAGTAAAATGAAATCCTTGACAACTTCAATCTTTTCTCCATTTATCATGATGTTGCTTATTGGTCCAGTTGTGAGGATTTTTATTTTCTTTATGTTGAGGTGTAATCCATACTGAAGGCTGTGGTCTTTGATCGTCATCAGTAAGTGCTTCAAGTCCTCTTCACTTTCAGCAAGCAGGCTTGTGTCATCTGCACATCACAGGTTGTTAATGAGTCTTCCTCCAATCCTGATGCCCCGTTCTTCTTCATATAGTCCAGCTTCTCGGATTATTTGCTCAGCATACAGATTAAATAGGTATGGTGAAAGGATATAATCCTGATGCACACGTTACCTGACTTTAAACCACGCAGTATCCCCTTGTTCTGTCCGAACAGCTGCCTCTTGATCTATGTACAGGTTCTTCATGAGTACAGTTAAGTGTTCTGGAATTCACATTCTTCGAAATGTTATCCATAATTGGTTATGATCCACCCAGTTGAATGCCTTTGCGAAGTCAATAAAACACAGGTACACATCTTTCTGGTATTCTCTGCTTTCAGCCAGGATCCACGGGACATCAGCAAAGATATCCCTGGTTCCACGTCCTCTTCTGAATCCGGCCTGAATTTCTGGCAATTCTTTGTCAATATACTGCTTCAGCCACTTTTGAATGATCTTCAGCAAAATTTTACTCGTGTGTGATATTAATGGTATTGTTTGATAATTTTTGCATTTGGTTGGATCACCTTTCTTGAAAATAGGCATAAATATGGATCTCTTCCAGTCAGTTGGCCAGGTAGCTGTCTTCCAAATTTCTTGGCATAGACAAGTGAGCACCTCCAGTGCTGCATCTCTCTGTTGAAACATGTCAGTTGGTATTCCTCAATTCCTGGAGCCTTGTTTTTTGCCAATGCCTTCAGTGCAGCTTGGGCTTCATCCTTCAGTACCATCGGTTCCTTATCATATGCTACCTCTTGCAATGGCTGAACATCAACCAATTCTTTTTCGTATAATGACTCTGTGTATTCGTTCCATCTTCTTTTGGTGCTTCCTTCATTGTTTAATATTTTCCCCATAGAATCCTCCACTGTTGCAACTCGAGGCTTGAGTTTTTTCTTCAGTTCTTTCAGCTTGAGAAATGCTGAGCGTGTTCTTCCCTTTTGGTTTTCTATCTCCAGCTCTTTGCACATGTCATTATAATACTTTACTTTGTCTTCTCGAGCTGCCCTTTGAAATCTTCTATTTGGTTCTTTTATTTCATCATTTCTTCCTTTTGCTTTAGCTACTCGACGTTCAAGAGCAAGTTTCAGAGTCTCTTTTGACATCCATTTTGGTCTTTTCTTTCTTTCCTGTTTTTTTAAAGCTCTTGCTTTCTTCATATATGATGTCCTTGATGTCATTCCACAACTCATCTGGTCTTCGATCATTGGTGTTCAGCGTGTGTCATGGATTGAATTATGTCCCCACAAAAATGTGTCTATCAGTTTGGCTAGGCCATGATTCCTGGTACTTGTGATTTTCTTGTATGTTGTAAACCTGCCTCTATGATGTTAATGAGGGAGGATGGGTGGCAGTTGTGTTAGTAAGGCAGGACCTGATCTGCAAGACTGGATTGTGTCCTGAGGCAATCTCTTGAGATATAAAAGACAAGTGAGCAGTGAGACAGGGGAACCTCATACCATCAAGAAAGCAGTGCCGGGCAGAGCACGTCCTTTGGACGGGGGTCCCTGCACCGAGAAGCTCCTAGTCTGGGGGAATATTGATGAGAAGGCCAACAGAGAGAGAAAAAGGCTTCCCCTGGAGCTGACGCCCTGAATTTGGACTTTTAGCCTACTTTGACTGTGAGGAAATAAATTTCTCTTTGTTAAAACCATCCACGTGTGGTATTTCTGTTATAGTAGTACTAGATGACTAAGAATTTGGTCGATCATTAGTGTTCAGCGTGTCAAATCTGTTTTTGAGATTATCTGTAAATTCAGGTGGGATATACTCAGGGTCATACTTTGGCTCTTGTGGACTTGTTCTAATTTTCTTCAGTTTCAGCTTGAACTTGCATATGAGCAGTTGATGGTCTGTTCCGTAGTCAGCCCCAGTCCTTGTTCTGACTGATGATATTGAGATTTTCCAATGTCTCTTTCCACATATGTAGTCAATTTGATTCCTGTGTATTCCATCTGGCGAGGTCCGTGTGTATAGTCGCCGTTTATGTTGGTGAAAAAAGGTACTTGCAATGAAGAAGTCATTGGTCTTGCAAAATTCTATCATGTGATCTCTGGCATTGTTTCTATCACCAAGGCCATATTTTCCAACTACCAATCCTTCTTTGTTTCCAACTTTCGCATTCCAATCATGTTCAGTCAATTTCAGACTGCAGAAGCTGGTAAAAATCTTCAGTTTCTTCATTTTGACCTTAGTGGTTGGTGCATAAATTTGAATAACGGTCATATTAGCTGGTCTTCCTTGTAGGCGTGTGGATATTATCCTATCATTGTGTGGCACGCATTTTTTCTAAGTGCATTCCATGTTTAGTTCTTGTATGGCCTTATGAGGGAGATATTATAATCTTCATTAAGGAGGCAGACATGGAGGGATAGAGATGTTAAGTCACATCAAAGCTGGATTCAAATCCAGGCAGTCTGACTTGAGAGGCCATGCTCTAAATCATCATTCTGTGCTGCATCGAATACGTTATTTGCTGTTTTATGTAAATGTCGTTGAAGTATGTTTAGACTTCTGCAGCTTGTGATTGTTTTTTTAAACTGACAATATGTCTTGAAGAGCATTCATATTAGTACTTATAGAACAACCTCATTATTTTGAACAGCTGCAAACTAGTTTCAAGATTGGATGAAACATACTTTAATTAGCCCTTGTCCTACTGATAGCTCGAAGGTTTTTTCTGTTTTTTCGCTAGTACACATAGTGGTGCACAGTGATCCTTGAATATGCATGTCTCTTTGTGTATATGAGAGACCCCTGATGACACAGTGGTTAAAGCGCTCAGCTGCTAAGTGAAAAGTCGGAGGTTTGAACCCACCAGCCACTCTGTGGGAGAAAGCTATGAGAGTCTGCTTCTGTAAAGATTATAGCCTTGGAAACCTTATAAGAGAGTTCTATTCTGTCCTATGGGGTTGCTACGAGTCGGAATTGACTCGATGGCAGTAGGTTTGGTTTTTTTTGGGTTTTGTACATATGTGCAAGAAGTTCTGTAGAATGAATTCCTATAGTTCATTACCTGGTTAGGGGAAAGTGTATTTAAAGCTTTAATGGATGCCATCCAGTTGTCCTCCAAAAAGACTTTACCAATTTATATTCCCTGCCCAACAATGTCTAAGAGTGCCTCTTTCCCTGCATCCTAGCCAGCCTCTGTATTGTCAGCTATTTAACTCTTTGCCAACCTGATAATTGAAAAGTGGTCTCTTTCAATTTGCCTTTCCTTGATTCTTAATGAGTTTGTTTGACCATGTTTTGATAATGTTTATTTAGGCCATTAGTGACGAAATGGCCTGAGAAGTTTTTTTTAATCATAGTAAACCTTTGTTTTTGTTGTTAGTTGCCCTCAATTCTTTTCCAACTCATGGCGACCCCATGTGTGCAGAGTAGAACTCTACACATAGGATTTTCAAGGCTGTGACGTTTTGGAAGCAGGTTGCCAGGCCTGTTTTCTGAGATGCCCGTGGGTGGGTTTGAACAGCCAACCTAAGCAGATCTATTTTATTTCATAGTGAGGAGACTATCTGCCTTCTGCTTATATTTTGTTTTAAAAGTAAAATTACATTACTCCTGAAGAAATTGTCTTACCTTTTCGTAGGACAGCTCCAGAAAGAAGCGTGATAGAGATGATAACTCTACTGTAGGGTTGGACTTTGAGCCGTGGTCCAGCAAACGGGGAGAGATCCTTACCCGGTACACTACTACAGAAAAGCTCTCTATCGTGAGTACCAGTACTTTTGTCCCAGCATCTACTTCAGATTTCGTAGTAATATCTTTTTGTTATATTGCTCTGTCTCCTGGGCTGTCTGCAAGTTGCACTTTTTACATCAGTGTTAGTTGGGGAAAAAAAGTGCTGATCAGTTTCTTGTTTTTTCCTAAATTTTATTTATTGTTGAGAATATACACAGCAAAACTTGGACCTATTCAACAGTTTCTACATGTACCATTTAGTAACAGTGATTACATTCTTGGAGTTGTGCAGCTGTTCTCACCCTCCTTTTCTGAGCTGTTCCTCCCACGTTAAGATAAACTCACAGCCCCCTAAGATTCTTATATAATCTTTTGAGTTGCTTTTGTCAGTTTGATCCCATATAGATTGTTCTTAAAAGAGCATAAGGCTCAAGGCAGACATTTTTACTAGTTAAGCTAAACTGTTGCTGGATTTTAAGATGACTTCAGGGGATATTTTTGGTTTAAGGTTTAAAGATTATCTCAGGGCAGTCGTTTCAGGGGTTCATCTACCCTCCATGGCTCCAGAAAGTCTGGAGTCCATGAAAATTTGAAATTCTGTTCTGCATTTTCCCCCTTTTGATCAGGATTCTTCTATAGAATCTTTGATCAAAATGTTCAGTAATGGTAGCCAGGCACCATCCAGTTCTTCTGGTCTCATGGCAAAGCAGTTGTTCATGGAGGCAATTAGCCACACATTCCATGTCCCCCTCTTCCTGACTCTCCTTCCTCTGTTTCTCCAGGTGAATAGAGACCAATTGTTGTGCCTTGGATGGCCCCTTGCGAGCTTTGAAGACCCTAGGCAGTACACAGTGAACTAGGAGGTAGAACAGCACTAAACACATTATTATGCCAGTTAATTAGGATGTCCCATGAAACCATGACTGTAAACCCCCAAACCAAGAAACCAAACCCCATGAGGTTTTTGGTTGTACATAAGCAGCCTCAGCAGTTACCCTTTTTTTTTTTTAGCATTGTAAATATATCACACAACTTTTGCCAATTCAACTTCTTCTAAGGGTACAACTTTTTGACAGCACTTAGTAATAGACTGTGCAACCCTGCCCTTAATCAGTTCGATTTTTCCATCATTGCTGACCACTTTTTTCCCCTTCTCTCCCACCCCTGGTAGCCACTAATAAACTTAGGTCTCTATACATTTGCCTTTTCTTGTCTTTTTATATAAGTGAGGCCATGCGATATTTGTCCTTTTGTGATTGGCTTATTTCGCTCAGCATAATGTCTTTAAGCTCTATCCATACCTATCTATCCATATCAAGACTTCATGTCTCCTACTGGCTGAGTAGTATTCCATTGTATGTATGTACCATGTTTTATTTATCCACTTATCTATTGATGGGCATTTAGGATATTTCCACCTTTTGGCTGTTGTGAATAGTACTGCAGTGAACACTGGTGTACAAGTCTCTATTTGAGTCTGTGCTTTCAAGTCTTGAGTATATACCTAGGAGTGGAATTGCTAGGTCATATGGTAGTTCAATTTTTACTTTTTTGAGGAACTGCCACACTGTTTTCCACAACAGCTGTACCATTTTGCATCCCGCCAGCAATGGATAAGGGCTCCAATTTCCCTATATCCTTGCTGACATTTGTTATTTTCTGTTTTTTGTTTTTTTTTTTTTAATCTTAGCCATCCTAGTGGGAGTGAAATGGTATCTCATTGTGGTTTTGATTTGCATCTCTCTGACAGCTGATGACACTGTGTTTGGTGGCCAGTTGAATGTCCTCATTGATGAAATGTCACTTCAAGTCCTTTGCTCAGTTTATGATTGGGTTATTTATCTTTTTGTTGTTAAGTTTTCAAAGTTTTATGTATATTTTGGTTATTGATTCTTATCGGATATATAGTTTCCAAAAATATTTTCCCAGTCGGTAGCTTGTCTTTTCACTTTTTTGGTAAAGTCTTTTGATGAACAAAAGCTTTCAATTTTTGTGAGGTCACATTTATTTTGTCTTTTGCAGCATGTGCTTTTTAAAAATTATATTAGATAATCCATTGTTAAAAGCTAGGCGTGACAGCATCGATCCTGCATTTTATTCTAAGAATTTTATGGTTTTAATTTGCACATTTAGTTCCTTAATCCATTTTTGAGTTTGTTTGGCGTATGGTGTGAGGCATGAGTATTGTTTTCATTTTTCTGCATGTGGAAATCCAGTTTTCCCAGCACCATTTATTGAAGAGATCCTTCTTTCCCTATCGATTGGATTTATCACTCTTGTCAAAAATCAGTTGACCATAGATGTGTGGGTTTATTTCTAGACTCTCAATTCTGTTCCATTGGCTGTTTTGATGACTGTAGCTGTATAGTATGTTTTAAAATCAGAAAATGTGAGTCCTCCTACGTTGTTCTTCTCTTTCAGCATTGCTTTAGAGAGGCCTTTTGCCATTCTGTATAATGTTGAGGATTGGTTTTTCTATTTCAGTAAAGAAGGCTGTTGAAATTTTGATCAGGATTGTGTTTAATCTGTGGATCGCTTTTGGTAGTATTGGTATCTTAACAATGTTAAGTCTTCCAACCCGTGAACATGGAACATCTTTCCGTTTACTGAAGTCTTCTTTAATTTCTTTCAGCAGTGTTTTAAGTTTTCATTGTACAAGTCCTTCATATCCCAGGTTAGATTTATTCCTAGGTATTTTATTCTCTTAGATGCTATTGTAAATGGAATTGTTTCCCTAATTTCCCTTTCGCATTTTTCATTGCTGGCATATAGAAACCCAACTGATTTTCCATTGCTGACCTTGTACCCTACAACTTTGCTAAATTCCTCTACTAGCTCTAGGCTAATTGGTTTCTTGAAAACTGTGTTAAGAATGAGGATATGGCACAGTTCAGAGAAGGAACTGGAACAGTGGACTCCCATCTTTGGGGCACATTTTTGTTCTAGTGTTATTATACTCATTAGACAGAATGGCAGGCAGAATTGATGAATTATTCACGTTAAAAAAAGTAATATATATGTATTTTTTGCTTTTGTCGAGGTTATACACAGCAAAACATATACCACTTCAACAGTTTCTACATGTACCATTTAGTGACATTGATTACATTCTTTGAGTTGTGTAACCATTTTCACCCTCCTTTTCTGAGTTGTTCTTTCCCATTAACATAAACTCACTGCCCCCTGAGGTTCCTATCTAATCTTTCAAGCTGCTGTTGTCACCTTGATCCCATATAGGTAGATCTTAAAAGAGTACCATGCTCAGGGCAGTTACTTTTTTTTTCTAAGTTCATAGAGCTTATTTAGAGCAGTAATTCTCAACTGGGAGTGACTTTGCCCCCAGGGGACATTTGGCAATGCCTGGATACATTTGGTTGTCACAGCTGGGGTGGTGGCGGTGCTACTGGCATCTAGTAGGTGGAGGCCAGGGATGCTGCCAGACATTGCGCTATGTACAGGATAGCCTCCACAACAGAGACTTCCTTGGCCTAACGTGTCAACAGTGTTAAGGTTGATAAACCTTGCTTTAAGATAAGTGTAATGTTCCTGTCTTGTGACTCCACTATCATATCAAATGTTTTGCTATTTGTTGGATCACTTTGAGAGCCCTGAATTGAGTAGAAATTTCAATCTGGTAGTTTTGTGACCCGTATTTTCCTTCTTTGAATATGTATTTCTGTCTTTCATTTGGATAAATTAAATTGTTTTGTTGGAAAATTATGGGCCATCTTGCCTTAGTGCTAGTTGAATAAATATTTTTTGAAATTTTTTCATACAATCAAGTAAGATTTTTAAAATGTTAATGAATTTTATGTCTCTGCAGAATCTGTTTATGGGATCTGAAAAAGGTAAGTTGGTTTTTTTATTGTTGCTTTGATGGGAGAATTGCTTTATTACCTTTAATATAATTTTACAAAGGGAAAAAAAAGTGTGTGTTATATGGCCTTTCTCGCTGTGGTCTTGTAATTAATGATTGGGTGAATTCCCATAAATGTTTGGGTGAGGCTGTTCAAGTAAGTTGCTGTGGCACACCAGGGGGATTGGACAGCTTGCTAATAATGCAAATAAGGTGTATGGAACCCTAACGAGGGGATTGGTCAGTTTTGCCATCCTGCTAGGTTTAATATGAGCCATCCCAGAGGTGGAAAGGGGAGACCTCACTACCACCAAGAGAGAAGAGCTGGGAGTGGAGCATGTCCTTTGGACCCAGGGTCCCTGCACTGAGAACCTCCTAGACTCAGGGGAGACAGAGAATTGTAACACCAGAGATGGAGTGAGACAGCAAGAAGCAGTGGCAGAGAAATGATGACAACAGAACCTGGAATCTGGCGCAATACAGTGCGGTGGGCTTCCTGGCCCACGGAGCAGGGTAGTTACAGTGGGTGTGCTGACCCACGGAGCGAGAGAGCTGAAAGCCTTTGGGTCGGAAGCTTTGTAGTGGAGTGGGGTTTCTCCAGGCATTTGTTGGTGGAGCTAAAGAGCTTTGTAATATGTAACACTTGACCGAGTGGGGCAGGGGGTAGGCTAAGGGGCACAGGGAATGAGAGAGAGGCCTGCCTGCAGGCATGACCGAAAGCTGTCCTGACCGAAGGACTATATCCTGAGTCATTCCTGATTCTCAGGCGCACTGTTACTCCCTAATAAATCCCAAAGTCGTGAGTATTGTCTGTGAGTTCTCTGTGGCCACTGCAACGAATTATCAAACCCAGCAGAGAAGTAGAGAGTGCCGTGGGAGGGACGGATGGTGTCAGAATTGGTGAAAAGATTGGAGGGTGGAGATATATTGACCTCCGTCTCATAGGAATCAGCTTTGGGCTGTTGATCTTGATTCTCCTCCCCGCTTGTGAAGTTAGAGGAAGTCAGACACCATCCGCCATGTCATTTTTACGTGTTACCAATCCTGTTGTTTAATTATTTCTTAGGTTATTTGTAGACACAGAACTAAAATATGTACTTAGAGAATGAATGAAAAAGAGATCACAGAGGTTACTAGGAATAGAACAAAAACTTGGTGTCTCCTACACCAGCTAGGTAGCAGTTGAAATTCCCCTTCAGAGATCCTTTCCTTTGCCTTAAGTCTTTGTCCCTACGAAAGTGCACATATGCTGGCAATGGGGGTCACACACTCAGTCTTACCAGCCACTGGTTCCTGAACATGGCCGTTCTCAATTTTCTCTGCCAAGACCCGCGGTCTAAAAGCCCTGGACCAGGTCTCTCAAATCGGCTGCAGTAAGACCACCTTGGGAACTTTTATACAAATTTAGACCACTGGGTCCCACTTGTTGAATTACTTTTGAATGATGGGACCCAGGAATTTCTTTCTGGAAGCTCCCAGGTGATTCTGAAGCCACTGACATATGGCAGCTGCAACTCTCCCCCTTCTTTGCAGGTTGAAACAGAACATTCTAAATGAAGGGAGTAGAAGCAACCTTATTATGAGCATAACTTTGAATGACCCCAGACCATAAAAAAAGTAAATTCTACTATTGCGTATTCACCAGCCTGGAAAAGTCAAACTGAGTGACGATACCAAGTGTTGATAAGAATGGGAAGCAATAGGAACTCTCATGTGCTGTTGGTGGGAGTATAAATGGCACAATCACTTTGTAAAACAGTTTTGCAGTGTCTCTTAAATTGAACAGGGGTCAACTCTTTGACCCAGAAATTTCCCTTCCTCGATAATACTATAGGTCAGGGGTTGGTAAACTATGTCATGGGCCAAGTCCGGCCTGCTGCCTTGTTTTTGTAAATAAAGTTGGTTGAAACACAGCCACGCCTATCTGTTCACATGCTTTCATGCCACAACAGCAGAGTTCAATAGCTGCAGCAGAGACTGTGTGACCTGTAAAGCCTAAAATATTTGTATCTGGCCCTATAAGGAAAAGTTTGCCAGCCCTGCGCTAGATCCATGATTCTTGAAGTGTGGTCGGAGGGCCAGCCGCCTTGACATCACCTGGGAACTTGTTAAAAGTGCAGAATCACACAGATCTGGCCCCACCCCAGACCTACAGAAACAGCATCTGTACTGTAACACATCCTTAAGGGATTTGTGTAAAAGCTTAAGAAGCACAGCCCTGGAGAAATTCATGTTTGATGACCCAGGAGGCATGTACAGAGATGTTCATAGCAGCGTTGTTTGTAATAGCCCCAAACAGAAAACCCAGACGTTCGTTGACAGTAGAATGAAGAAATTAATTGTGGCATATTCTCACAATGGAAAATACTCAGTAGCAATCGTAGTGAGCTACAGCTGCATGAAACAGCGTGGACAGATTTCATGAATGTTGCGGTGAATGAAAGAAGCAAGACAATATATGACTTGGGTGGAAATTACAGAGGTATTTTATAATTATTTGTAAAAATATAAAGTGTTAAAGTGTACTTTATGTGTTGCTGTATATTTCAAAGTTAGGGGAAAAGTAGAAACAAGGTAAAAAATGTTAATTATTTGGAGACTTCATTATTTTAGCAGTTACAAGTAAGTAATTGCAGTATGCTCTCAGCTGATTACAGACACGTGTGAGTCAACACCTGAGCTGAGAACCAGTGCCTTCAGAGAGAATAAACTTGAATTCCTGAGAGTGGGTTTGGTAGGGAGGAGCAAGGGGACTCAGAACTAGAGCAGAAGTCCCCTTGAGATGGGGAAAGGGCTCTGAAATAGGAGGCACTGGAGGGCAACACTAGGAGCCCCGGTGGTGCAGTGGTTAAGTGCTTGGCTGCTAACCGAAAGGTTGGCGGTTCAAATCTATCAGCCACTCCCCGGAAGAAAGATGTGGCAGCCTGCTTCCTTAAAGATTTACAGCCTTGGAAACCCTATGGGGCAGTTCTCCTCTGTCCTATAGGGTCGCTATGAGTTGGAATCGACTCAACAGCCGAGGGTTTGGTTTTTTTGTTTGGAGGGTGACAGCCAGCTTGACAGATAATCTTGGCCTGTGGCTGGCCCTGCAGCCTGGAGTCCTTTCCTTCATTCCTGTCTGCCAGTCCCTGCTGATGGACAAGATTGTGCTGACAGATGCTGGAAGGAGTCATAGCTAGTGCCGTTGGCTCGAAGAAAGGGCTTTGGAGCCCTAGTGTTTCCACTTCTGGTGGACAGTGAGATTGTTTTGTTAGTATAAGAGTGCAACAGTTCCACTCTGTGAGCGTGACCATGACAGGGCCCGTTGTTCACGGAAAACAAATAAATAACAGATTTTTGGCATCCTTAACTGGACTCCCTTTCTCTACAAGTAAACAACTGATACAGTGAGAAGTTTGTAAGTACTCAGTGTAGTGGTTAACCTTTTTGAGGCTGGCCCATGCGCTCCCAGGGGCAGCTTCCGAATGGAACTATTTCCTATGGAACTTCGGGTGCATATGGAAATTACTTTCAAAACTCAGAGAGTTTTCAGTAATGAAATACAGTTTCCTGACATCTCTGTTCCTGCTGAAGTGCAGAGTAGAAGCATGCTGCCCATGGGGGTGTTGGTGGTAGAGGGGAGCCACTTGGCTGATACAAATCCATTCTCTTTAGGCAGAGCGGGGACTGCCACGTCCGCAATGTCAGAGAAGGTCCGGACCAGGCTGGAGGAGCTGGATGACTTTGAGGAGGTGAGCAAGTCCTTTGTGGAGCAGGGAGTTGAGGGAGGAGTGAAGCTTTCGTTTCTTCTGCCAAGTTAGATCCCTCTCAGTGGCTGCCCTTTGGTGAATTCTCGATCACGCTTGTCCAAGGAGGCCTTCGTGTTGTGCTTGGTCCTCCTGTGTCCTGGGGCTCTGACTCAGTCCAGGGAAAGGGGCCAGCAGTGCAGTTGGAGGAGCTCATGGGAGCTTTCTGAAGGCGTCTTTTCTCATTATGATGCCTGAGCAAACTCAGGTTGTCCAGGGACAGTGTCTAATGGGAAAAGCCAGCTGGAGTCGTCTCCCTGGGAAGTATAACGATCGTACCTTACAACAGAGGCTGCACATGACCGCTCTGCTGCCTGGATATGGCCCATAGCAGTCTTTTAATTGGCCTGCACATACTTTTTAAAGATTTGAGTCATTTTCCAATTGTTTTAAAAAAAAATGGTAAATTTAACGTACAAATCTAGAATTCTGGCTTCTCTTGAAAAATTTGAGCTGACAACTCTGGGCCCACGTTCTTGCATTTAACCAGGTCATGCACTGTCTAGGTTGCCACAGTCCCCCCGTCCCAGTTCACTCATAGTCATTACTAGCCTGGCCCCTGAAGACAGCTGAGTTATGTCCTCTGGAATATCACTTAGAGAGGCAGCATAGCATGATGGGTAAGAGCATAAACTTTGGAGCCAGACTGCCTAGGTTTGAATCCCAGCTTTACCATTTGATGAATCTGAGATTTTGGGCAAGGTACTTGACCGCTCTGTGCCTGAGTTTACTTATCTGTAAAATGAGGATGATAAGTGCCCACCTCATAGGGTTGTTACAGGGATTCAGTGACTTACTGTATATGAAGTGCTTAGAACAGCACCCCGCACGTGGCCTGTGCTGTGTACGTCTTAGCTGCTATCACCATCATTATCCTGAGACTGGAGGCCTCAGCTTGACCGCTTACTAACAGGGTGGCATTGGACATAAATCTGTTTCCTCATCTCTGAAATGAGGATAAAGAGTAGTTGTGTGGATTGGATGAAGAAGCTCTGAAAACCACAGTGGTGGTTGCCGTTGCTCTGTCCTGCATCTTGCCCCTTGGATCGAGGATCTTGCAGCTCTGAGACCAGAGCTGTTGGGGCCTCCACAGAGTTCAGTATCTTAGTTCCCAATTCAGATATGAGAAGTAGTGAATTAGGGAGCCTCAGTCTGCATATAGTCAGCCAACCTTGGCTGGTAATGAGGGAATTACTGAAGGTTTGAATCAAAGCTCTTTAGTCTGGAAGTATCTGAAAGTTGCTTGATTGGGCTTCCATTGAAAATGGAGGTTTTATTGGAAGGATACAGGGTGTCCGTGAACCCAAGGGCACAACAACCTGGATCCAAGAACCACAACTGGCCAGGAACCTGGCATCTGCCTCGGTCTCTCTTTTTGGGTCTGTGTAGCCTCCTGTCCTGATTCTCTCTCTCTAGTGGTCCTTTGCTTTTTGTCTGCAGTGTGGTTGCTTTGCTTACCCCCACTCACAGCGCAGCTGACTGCCTCACAGCTTCCAGGTTTACATATCATTTTAGCCAGTGTAAGCCTAGGTTATGCTGTGCTAACACACGCACCCCAAATCCCAGTGGCTTAATATAGCAGTAGTTTGTTTCTTGTTCACATTACGCAGTCAGTGAGAGTGACCGACACAGCACCATCTCATGATGCTGCCATGTCAACACAGGGCTTCCAAGGTCATCACAGCAGTCTGCAGAGAAGGCCACTTTTCACCACCTCAGCCAAGAAGGGACACATGCCACTTCTGCTCACAGTCCACTGGCCCGAACTGTCACGTGGCTCCTACTGCAGAGGGACAAGGAAGCCCGTACTCCACAGATCCTAGTTAACGTGGCCAATTGAGATCAGTCCAAATTCCCTGAACCATCTACTCTTACTTCTTTAATAAATAGGGCTTCACTTTGGATTTCAAGGAATGTTCAGATAAAGAAGGTTTGGTTTGGTTTCTGGTCTCATCATGCGTGTTGGCATGAGCCTTACTCACATGAGCTACGTAAATAGCATGCTGAACACTAGCTAAAGATCAGTGCGTGCTAACTGCACCAGACTGGGCTGAGCCTTTACGTACATTGTTACTTAATCCACGCGAAGATCTCACTCTCTTCTGCCACGAGTCTTTGCCGTAGACTTCCGTTTGTCCAGAATGTTCTGTCCTTGTTGCCCCCTGGCCTAGTTAACACCTGTACAACTGACAGCTCATCTCGAGCTTCCCTTCCTCCAGGAAGCCATCCTGACCCACCCTTACCCGTCTGAAGCCCATCCCTTTGTTACCATATTTTTTCTATTCTAAGATGAACGTCTTTCCTCCCACATTTTGATGTCTCTAAAATCGAGCTATGTCTCTCAGTTGGTGCATGTCGAGGATCAGCATTTTTTTCTTCCCTAGTGGTACGTGCTAGAGCTCTGGTGGTGCAGTGGTTAAGCGCTTGGCTGCTAACCAAAAGGTTGGCAGTTCAAAACCACCAGCTGCTCTGTGGGAAAAAGATGTGGCAGTCTGCTTCCATAAAAATGTACAGGCTTGGAAACCCTATGGGGCAGTTGTGTTCTGTCCTATAGGGTCGCTATGGGTCAGAGTCGACTCGATGACAGTGTTTTTTTTTTTTTTTTTTCTGAAGTTTTAGTGGTACGTGAAACAGTTGTGCTTCTTACAGTGGAACACCTCAGGTTCAGTGAACTATGCTGTGTGTTGTCATGGAACTGTATTTCCTAGTCAGTATTTATCTCAGTTTGTGTTAATGTCCATCTCTTCTCTGTCCCTTAAGCTCTGTGAATGCAGAAATAATGTATTTTTGCTCACCTTTGTCTCTTGAGTATCTAACAGCACGCGTGGCACACTTGGTAGGCCCCCAGTAACTATTTGTTGAACGAGGTAAGTGCTGTTATCCCCATTCACAGATGAGAATATTGAGGCACAAAGAGCAAAGCAGCTTGCCCAGGATCATACAGCCAGTGAGTGGCTGAGCTGGAAGTCAGCTTAGGTCTGACTTGCCTCCAAGGCTAATCTCTTACCCACTATACTGTGCCCATCTCTGAATAAAACTCAAAGAACCCCTTTGCTTGCCAGAGAAAACAGTCAATCCTGGTGGAGTCATGAAGAGAATTGAAGAGACTGTAACTCCATCAGTACCAGCTATTCTATAGAGAGGGTGGTGGTTGAACAATGTTTTTCCTTCTGTGTCTTTACCTCTTGACCTTCTGCCCACAGGGATCCCAAAAGGAGCTGTTGAACTTGACTCAACAGGATTACGTGAACCGCATAGAGGAGCTCAACCAGTCGCTAAAGGACGCCTGGGCCTCAGACCAGAAAGTGAAGGCTCTAAAAATAGTCATCCAGGTCAGGTCTAGTGATTTTTTAGAAATTCCTATGTAAAAATCTTTTGGATAATTAGGGTTTTCCGAGGACTGTCTTCAGGGTCTTACCCTATTTTTTCATCTGTTCCATTTTCACATACTTCTTGTGAAAGGCTGTGATTATGGATCCTGTGTTTCTGTGAGATGGCTAATCCCCGGGCCACCACAGGCAGCTGGACAGGTTGTACACTGTACAGCTCCAGGAAGCACCTTCCTCCCAACAAGGTGCTATGCAGTGCTGTGGCCCTGGTATAACCCCTGACGCATTTATGATTTATACAGACTAAAGACTGGGTAACATTTGAGGGTTTTCCTTGACCAGATTGGCTTTGTATCTTGGAGACTAATGGCTGTGGATCCCTGATTTCTGCATTTTTGAGACATATTCTGCATAATTATATGTTGAGGAAAGCAAGTTTACAGTGTTGGGAGAGGTACATTTGAACTGACAGATCTTGGCTCACAAGAGCAGGTTCTGCAAGGAAAACAGTTTATTCTGTTTCTTGATCCTTAGGATCATCCTGGCAAAACATGCTTTGAACCACACTGTAAAAGGAGTAACTCAGGCAGTAGCTGTTTCAGAGCTGAGTTAATAAAGGATTTCTGCAGAGCCATTTTAGTTCAGAAGGACAGATCCCATTCTCCTTTGATGGCACGATAATGTGACGTTTGTTTTCTCACCTGTGTCTTCTGAGGGAGGGTTAAGAGAGTCTAGGAGCCCTTACACTTGATACTTGAAGTCTTTTAAGATGACTCTTTGTATCTTATGGGCTATTTTTTGGTGTTTCAAGGCAGGAGACAAATCTGAGAGCTGGTTTCCTTCCATCACTGTTGGTAGTTTACAGAGTAAATACTCCTGAAGAAGGACCTCTCCTCCTGGGTGCATGTGATGGCAGCTGCTTGCTGAGGGACCCCAGTGAGAAAATAGCTGAACTAACAAGTGTTCCTTCAAAATATTTTTATTGGCAACATTTTCCATAGATTATTATGGTATAGAACTGTGACTTCTAAGAGTTTCACATCTGGGGTATATTTGATTCATGTCTCCTCAAAGAAAATAACCATGGGAGTGTTTAATTAAGTCCACATCTGGTTAATAGTGACTGCTTTCCACACTTTAAAGACTGCCTTCTTCATCCAAAAAAGCTTGTCAGGGTGCCGAGTTCAGAGAAGTGAGCGTGGTTCAACTTTACTTGGCTTTGCAGTAAGTTTTTTATTGTTTTTGGGCAGCTGTATTATTATTATTTATTTATTTATTGTGCTTTAAGTGAAAGTTTACAATTCAAGTTAGTTTCTCATACAAAAATTTACACACACATTGTTATGTGACCCTAGTTGCTCTCCCTATACTGTGACAGCACACTTCCCCTTTCCACCCCGGATTTCCTGTGTCCATTCAACCAGCTCCTGACCCTCTGCCTTCTCATCTCGCCTCTGGACGGGAGCTGCCCGTTTAGTCTCATGTATCTACTTGAGCTAAGAAGCACATTCTTCACGAGTGTCATTTTATGTCCCATAGTCCAGTCTAATCTTTGTCTGAAGAGTTGGCCTAGGGAATGTTTTTAGTTTTGGGCTAACAGAGGGTCCGGGGGCCATGTCTTCTGGGGTCCCTCCAGTCTCAGTCAAACTGGAAAGCTTTATTAAGGTATATTTTACATACCATAAAATTCACCAACTGTTAAGTATAAGAACTCTGATTTTTAGTAAACTTACAGACTTGTGCAATCATCACACAGTCTCGTTTCAGTACATTTTCATACTCCTAGAAAATTTCCTCAAGCCCATTTGCAGTCCAGTGCCATTCCCACCCCTGGGCCCAGGCAACCACTGATCTGCTTTCTGTCTCTATAAATCTGCCTTTCCTGTAACTTCATATAAATGGAATTATTCAAGACATGATCTTTCGCATCTGGCTTCTTTCACTAAGCATAACCTTTTGAAGGTTCTGTAGTACGTATCAGTACTGACTAAATATTCCATTATATGGCTAAACCACATTTTGTTTATCCATTCATACGTTGATGGACATTTGGATTGTTTCTGCTCTCTGGCTATTATGAATAATGCTGCAGTGGACATTGTTTTCATTTTAGGGGTAGTTTACTGGGAGTGGAATTGCTGAGTCATGTGGTAAATTTATGTTTAACTTTTTAAGAAACTGCCAAACTGTTTTCCAAAGTGACAGCACCATTTTACATTCCCCGCAGAAACGAGTGAGAATTCCAGTTTCTCTACATCCTCACCTGTCTTTTTTAAAAATAATTTTATTGTGGTAAAATATATATTAAAAAAATGTGCCATTTTAACCATTTTTAAGTGTACAGTCCAGTGACATTAATTACATTTATTATCTTGTGCAGCCATTGGCAGTGTCTGTTACCAAAAGTTTTTCATCAGCCCAAACAGAAACTCAGTTCCCCTTAAGCAATAACTCCCCACTTCTCCCTCCCTCCCTCCTGGTAATCACTAATGAACTTTGTATGCATTTGCCTTTTCTAGATGTTTCATATAAGTGGGATCATATAATATTTGCCCTTTTGTGTCTGACTTATTTGACTCAGCGTAATGTTTTCAGGGCTCCTTCAGGTCGTAGCATGTATCAGGACTCCATTTCTCTTTCTGGTTGACTAATATTCCATTGTATAGATAGACCATGTTTTGTTTATCCATTCATCTGTTGATGGATGCGTGGGTTGTTTCCACCTTTCGGCTGTTGTGTATAGTGCTGCAGGGAACATCAGTGTACTATTATTTGTTTGAGTCCCTGCTTTCAAGTCTTTTGGGTATATACCTAGGAGTGGAATTGTTGGGTCATATGGTGATTCTGTGTCCAGCCTTTTGAGAAAGCACCAGACTGTTTTCTACAGCGGCTGCACCATTTTACAATCCCACCATCACCCTCGTTTTGGCTGTAGCCATTCTAATGGGTGTGTAGTGGTATCACATTGTGGTTTTAATTTGCATTTCCGTAATGACAATGAAGTTGAGCTTCCTTTCATGTGCTTATTGGCCATTCGTGTATCTTCTTTGGTGAAATGTCTATTCAGGACTTGCTCATTTAAAAAAAAGTTTTTTTTTTCCTCCTTAGTGAGTTTTAACAGTTCTTTATATAATCTCTGTACGAATCTTTTATCAAATGTATGATTTGCAGGTATTTTCTCCCAGGCTGTGGTTTGTCTTTTCAGTTTCATAATGATGCCTTTTGAAGTGCAGAAGTTTTTAATTTTAATGAAGTCCCCTTGGCCAGTTTTCTCTTTTCTTACTCAAGCTTTTGGCGCCATATCTAAGAACTCTTGGCCTAACTCAAGGTCATGAGGATTTTTCTCCTATTTTTTTTCCTTGAAGTTTTATAGTTTTAGCTCTTACATTTGAGTCTATGATCCATTTTGAATTAATTTTTATGTATGGTACGAGGTTAGGGTCTAAGTTTTTCTGCAGTTGAAGATCGATTTGTCCCAGCAGCGTTTGTTGAAAAGACTATCTTTTCCTGTTATATTGACTTGGCAACTTTGTCAAAAATCGATTGACCATAAATGTAAGGATTTATTTCTGGACTCTCAACTCTGTTCCATTGGATCTATATGCCTATCCTTATGCCAGTACCACACTGACTTGATTACTGTAGCTTTATAACTTTTGAAATTGCATAGTGTCAGTCTTTTTACTTTGTCCTTCTTTTTTGAAATTGTTTAGCTATTCTTGGTCCTCTGCGTTTCCATATACATTTTAGGATTAGCTTGACATTTTCTGCAAAATAAAAAAGCCCACTAGAATTTTCTTAGGGATAACATTGAATCTATAGATCATTTGGAGAGGATTGCCATCTTAACAATGGTGAGTCTTCTAATGCATAGATTATGTATCATTTATTCTGTTGATAGGCATCTGGTAAGGAGCCCTGGTGGTGCAGTGGTTAAGTTCTTGACTGCTATCTGAGAGGTCGGCAGTTTGAACCCACCAGCTAGCTGCTCTGCAGGAGAAAGATGTGACAGTCTGCTTTGTAAATATTGCAGCCTTGGAAACCCTGTGGGGCAGTTCTACTCTATCCTCTAGGGTCACTGTGCGTCGGAATCGACTCGTCAGCAGTGGATTGGGTTTTAGGCATCTGGTTCTTTTCTTTTTCATTGTTGTGAATGCTGTTGCTGTGAGCACCTTTGGATATGTCTTCTGATGTCTGTGTAAAGCGTTTCTCGAGACAAGGGCACATACCTGAGTAGAATTGCTTGGACATCGGGTATGCGCCTCGAGCTTTACCAGATAATGCTGTTTTCCAAAGTAGCCGAGCCAGCTTACACTCCAGTAGCAGTAGGGATGTGAGAGTCTGTGTTATTCATCACCCTACCCGTGTTTGGTGTGAGCAGACTTTTTTATTTTTAAGTTTTCCAATTTAAAAGATGATAAAGTCTTATTTTATTGTGGCTTTAATTTGCATTTCCCTGATTGCTAATAAGACTGGGCATCTTTTCACATGTTTATTGGTCATTGGGGTTTCCTCTTTCATAAAATGTCTTTTGTTTATTCTTTTTGCTCATTTTTCTGTTATGTTGCTTGTATTTTTCTCATTTTTCCAGATTTTTTCATATATTCTGGATACTAATTGTCCTCTGACTTCTGAGATGTTTAGTTACCTTCCTTAATACTCACCCACAGGTCATCTTTTAATTTATTCACTTGTCTGGTTATTCAAATAGTTTTTAAAAATTCAAACCTAGTTTTAGAAAGTGTTACCTTCTAGAATATTGCTACTTGGAAATAAACAAAAAACCTCACCTTTTTAGTGCTTTTCCAACAATGTTAATAAGTTCAAGTAGTTCAGGCAGGGCATGTTATCAATTATGGAAGTTAGTCATTCTGTAAATGTTTATAATGGGTTCTTAGCTTTAAAAAAATTCTGGTGTCCAAGCTGCACCTTAGGCCAGTTTAATCGGAATCTCTGGGGGGTGGGTCTCAGGCATCATTATTTTTAAAAGCTCCGGGTAATTCTAAAGTTGAGCGTAGTTGACTGATAGAATGCTTATTACTTTCAGAGTACAGATGTAATAAGCCAGTTACGGATAGCATTAACCCAGTTTTTCCCAAGCTTGTTTAAGCATAGCAATCACCTGGAACCCTTGTTGAGCATACTGATTCCCAGGGGCCTGTGCTATGGATTTTGACCAGTAAGTTTGATATCGTGAGCCCTGGTGGCACAGTGGTTAACGTGCTCGACTGCTAACCAAAAGGTTGATGGTTTGAACCCACCAGCTGCTCCACAGAGGAAAGATGTGGCAGTCTGTTTCCGTAAAGATTACAGCCTTGGAAACCCCTTTAAGCAGTTCTACTCTGTCCTGTAGGGCCGCTATGAGTGGGAATAGACTTGACGGCAATGGTAGGTTTGGTATGGAGCCAGGAATATGCATTTTTAACAACCACCCCAACCTGATCATTATCGGACAAGTTTAGGAAACTGCACCAAAGCTTTACAAACTGTGGGATCTTCAGAATAGTAGTTTTGAGAAGGTAATTTTTTTTTTTAAATTTTTTTATTTATTTATTTTTATTGTACTTCAGGTGAAGGCTTACAGAACAAATAGTTTCTCATGAAACAGTAGTACACATGTTGTTTTATGACACTGGTTAACAACCCCACAACATGTCAACCCTCTAACTTCTCAACCT